TTTAGATGAAGAAACATATACTTTGAGTTATAAACTTGAGCACTAAATTTTTGTTACTTAGTGAGTCAGAATAAATATAGATAACTTTGAAGGTACTAATACCTATATGATCGGCAAGTAAATCGAGACTCCGGCCTTCTACTAATACAATGAATAGAAACACATATAAAAAAAAAAAAAAAAGTTTTACTTTTTGTGGATACAATTCAATTAGATAACAACGAGCTCTACTTTTGAAAAGCAGGCAGCAAAAACTAACTACCCTGAATAACTAAATGATAACAGGCAGTATCTACACATAATAACTTCAAATACCACCTATCTTTCTCATGCCTCTTCAAAGCAAGTTAAAGATCAATGAACCGGTTCAAGAGAGTTGCTTGTTGTTCCTGGCTTTTTGTTGAGTTGATTAGCTTCAACCTTGTGCAGTTCAACTCCACATGTTGAACATGCCAATTGCCACGAATCCCACTATTATTCCTCCTAGGTTAGTAGCTGTCAGAAGACATTTTAGTCATATTTGAACTAGAAAAACTAAAAAAACTGGATGCCCAATTAGTTTTGAGAATTAAGCAACAAGAGCATTTTGCATTTAAGAAGTTGTAGAAGTCATACCTTTTGGTTCTTTTTGGCATCCCGATGATCATGAAGAAGCCTTTTCTACACCATTTGACTTGTATGGAGCTATCCTATGAACTGTCCTTTTGAGGGAACCCAATAAATCTGTCTCAATGTGTGCATACCTAAGCATGATAAAAATAAATAAATAAATAAAAGGGGGGTAAACCATTTGTATGTCAAAATTATCATTATATGCCTAGCAAAAGGAATTAAAAACTTAGATGAATTGACTGTGAACTAAATATGCAACCTCTATCTCAAGCTACCATGTTCAAATATTCAAATCCACATTGTTTATATCCTACTAAAATATAATTTGAACCAAATGCATTTACATGTGAGTTTAGATATAGAACAACTCAAGATTTAAAAGATAAACTTACAAATTTCGGCAGAGATTATCTATGGTCACTGAACGATCAATGATCTTCATTCTAAAACTCATTATCTCTTCCTCAGTATAACTTTCAAACTTCTCTAGAAATGAAGACAGCTTCTCAACATGTTTCTCAAACTGCTGCTGTTGATCCTCAAACAAATTTTGCTTTATTTTTCTTTCCTTCTTGTTCATTTCATCTTTGAATAGATCATCACCAAACATGTAGTATGCAAATACATAGGAATAGAAAAGAACCCTCCTCGACCTAACAAGTCTATAGAATCCGTTTCTCACCCAACTGAAATCTTTAGTTGTTGATACTTTCTCCTCCAGCACATTTATTTTCCTCTGTACAGTTTCCTTAAGCTTAGACTCAAATGCAAATGAATCTTTATGACCTTTATATCGGTTGTGGTAGTGGACGCAACGTTCTCGGTACCGCTTTGCAAGCACAGCATTCCTCTCATGGTCATCCTTGTATCGCCCACAACTATGATCAGTAATAGATGTATAAGTGTGATCTTTCCCAGTAGCACCACCACAAAGCCAACTGAAAAAACAGGGAAAAGGTGACAAAAACCTTCAAACTAATTGATACACATAAGATGAAAAAAAGTCCTGACTACCAAAGTAACAAAAGTAAAGGTTATAATGAAAAGAAATCATGTAATATAAATAAATATACATTACCAAACTATTAACTGCCAATATATAAGAAATTGTAAATGGAAACACAAATCACAAACTATTATCTGCAATTTGGGTGAATTTGCAACCAGTCAAAAGGGGGAAGGGGGGGTTTTGGAGGAACAATATGAAAATGATGCTAGAAACGGAGATGAGAGCTCTGACCAAAATGATTGTCCACAAAGACAGGATACATGGTTGCATCCTCCATTTTTCTCGACAGGCTTGTGGCATTTTGGACAAGGCTTTGTGTTGACAGTAAGCCAATTAATTGTTGTCTCTGATTCATCACGGCATTTCTTGGACCAAAGTTCCCACATCATACAAGAACAAGGTGAGTGTGCTTCAGATGTGCAACTAAAACAAAATTGTACCCCACAAAGACATTCAACCTCACAAAGTCCATCATCCTCAACCCGTATTGCATTTCCACAATGAGGAATACTAGGGCACCATTTAACTCTTCTATTATCCTCAACATATGATTCCAAAAGAAATTGATCAAATTTCTCAGAAAGGGTAGGATCCCTCATGCCAACTAATTGTCTGATTTTTGCTTCATCACAGATAGCATTACACTTGTCTGCCATGCACCTTAGGCGTCTACTCTGGCCCTCATTTATCTTCACAATAAAATGTTCAGTCCAACCTAAGATTAATTGCACAAGAACAGCTTCAGAATTATTACTTCAAGGCATCAATAGATACATAAAGCATCAAAATTTGCAAAAAGAAGGCAGGATTTTCAATAATTCTGGGGGGAAAGAAAAGAAAATTTATGGAAGCTTACTTACAGGCATTGCAAAAGTAGTGACCACAGTCCATGGTAGTTACCATATCAGCTGATAGATCCTCAAAGCAAATGTAACATCTAACACTAACACCGGAAGATAACTTGGACAAAAAATGGTCATCATGCTCTACTAGTTTGACCCCTGCAGCAGCATATAATTTATCTTTTCCATTCTCAACAAGCACAGCAAGCACCTTATCAACATCCCAACGACAATAAATAAGCAGTGTCCGTGCATGGTGTTCCTTTAGAGCTAGTAACTCCATCACTTTATGCAAATCCTCCTTCTATTTAACCCAAGTCCAGCATAAATAAGACACTTCAAAAGGAAAGAAAACAAAAAAAATAAAATAAAATAAAATTCTTGGTCTTAGACGAACTGATCTTTACCTGTTCAGCCAAAAGTGACTCCCTTGTGATCACCTGCAAAAATGAAAAAATAATAATAATGATAATATTCAAAGAAAGAAAGAAAAAGGAAATATTTTCTCAAAAACGTAAAACCCCATCAAAAGCACAGAACTTTAGCTCAAATTCCTAAAGAAACACAACCAAAAAAAAAAAGGAAAAAACGGGATGGTCGAAATAGCTAAAGAAACTGTATCAGCATCAAAGAGAGAGTATAATTACAGTTGAATGGCAATTCAGCAGACAGAGTCAACAGGAATCACCACTGTCACTCGAAATACAATTTCCAAACACCAAAAGTGGCGGTGGCTTACCTTAGCCGTTTGACGGGAGTTCAAGGAATCCAGAACCATGTAGTTCTCGAGGGCTTCGAACCCTTCCAAATACTCTTCCCCATTACCATCCTCATCATCATCGTAAAAATAACAATCATCGTCGCTACCAACGTCATCACCCATCGCAAACACACAAAAAACCTCTCCTAGTTGAGAATTCCGGTCGCCAATCAGAGAAGCATGAAGTTTCCTGGGGTTTTGGTTAGGTCGAAGAAGTGATCTGATACCATCGCTTCTTGGGTTCTGTGACAGAATCCTCTGTATTTGCGGCGGAGAGTGGGTTGATTGCTGTTTTCGTTTAGTTGGCCCTTGGCCGCCGTTCAAGGCTAATTGCGGAAGTGTCATTGTATACGTGTCGTCAAAGCAGCGGCTAGATGGAGCTGTCCACCCCTTACGTTTTGCTTTATTTTTTTTTGGTTAAATGTTAATTTTGTTTTCTAAATTTTAAGATTTTATATAATTTTTTTTTATTTTTTATTATAAAAAATATATTTTTTATTTTTTTTATTAATTAATTTATTAAATTAGTCTAAATATATATATTTTTAATTAAGTTAAAGGATTAAAATATATATTAAAAGTTAAAAAATTAAAAATATATAAATTTATATAAATTTAATAGATTAATTAATAAAAAAACTAAAAAATATATTTTTTTCAAAATTAAAAGATTAAAAATATATATAAAAAATTAAAAAATAAAATTATATAAATTTTAAAGTTGAAGAAGTAAAATTAACATTTAACTTTTTTTTTTTCATGCCAACGCCCACTACTGCTTTTTGCCTTTTTGGTTTTTTATTTTTATTTTTATTAATCCATCATTGATTTTTCGTGAGAAGCCCCAATTGACAAAGCGTCCTCAATCCTCATATATAAAATGTTAGAATTTTTTATTAACAATAATCTTTTTTTTTATCTTAATAAATTAAAAGTATTTAAAGTTTTTTGCAATAATTTTAATATTTTAATTATTAAGATATTTTAATTTTTTTAATTTTATGTACAAACATTAAATTATTATTTCTTTTAAAAAAAAAACCTTTTTATCTCAATTTTGAAAGTCGGAAATGAAGATAAAGTAGATGTAAAAAAAAAAAAAAGAAAAAAAAAGAGAGGAGATTATTGCTTTCGTTATCCCCATCATATGCGTGATTGACTCATTTGGATGAATATTTAAAAATTTTTTTTGAACAAATTTGCAAGAATCGGATTCGATCCGTTGCCACACCCCAGGCTGGACTTACAGGTTGTACCTTTCCAGTTAGTCCATAAGTATCGGACACCCATATTCCAGAACCAGACAATCCTGTTACATGAAATGCACCAAAACCAAAGCAAGCCACTCCTGAGAGAAATAAATGAATTCCAAAGATCTTGGGTAAATCCAAAGAAAAGTGTGGATGAATATTTTAAATTAATTACTAAATATTAATAAAAATGCATTTTTCATTGTTTTGAATCTATATCCTTGAGAGATGGGTTCAGCTTCATGGCATGGTGCAGGCAGGAAAAATAGTGAACACAAGGTCACTTACCATGTCTAAAATATTTCAAAATTTCAACCAAAAGAGATTTCAAGTTGTATCTTCTTATTCCAAAAATGTATTAAAAATAAATATGTAACTTCAGCAAGAAGATCCTTTTTTACGAAAAGAAAAGGTAGAAAAAATTACAGTTTTTTTTTTTTTTTTGGGTACAAAAAAACTACAGTTGTAGTCTTGACTTCAAATGTATGCGGCAAGCAAGTCAATAAACAATGACATAAAACTCAATACCATGAAGCCCTAAGTCAGGCTGAAGCGTTTTGCACACCCTAACTCTTGAAGGGGTTGTATTTATAATCCTAGTTATAGTAAGAAATTTCATCTTCAACCATGCTCTTGCCCAACTTGCAAGGCAAAAATGATCACAATTAAAATATTTGCTATGATACACATGAAAAATGCAGTCAAAGGTCTTATATTGCTCAACTGCACCTTTTGTGCATACCAGTCTCTGCGTTGGAAGCCACATTTGGCAGTAACAAACAGCCAAATTTCTTAAGCAGGATCACCGGCTACGCAAAGTTTCAAAAGAGCATCTTTCATGATGAGCACGTCTTCTATAACTAGAGGATTATAAATACAAAACCTCTTAAGAGATATGGTGTTAAGTACTTACCCTTATTTCCAATTTCAAAAGGCTCAAGATTGGACCTAGGTCTTCATAATCATTTCAGAAGATGCCTTGAACAGAGAATTTTCCTCCATAGATGACAAAAATAGGATCTACAAACAAAAAGGGTTTGATAATATTGCAATGTATGACACAATCAACAAAGAAGCTGCTAAAATAACATGACAAAAGATAATAATCTACAGAACAACAGCAAGTATATTCCAACTTAACGTTTGGAATACTGAGGTGCTTTGCGAGCTTTCTTGAGGCCGGCTTTCTTCCTCTCAACAACTCTGGAGTCCCTGGTCAAGAGCCCTTCCTTCTTAAGAGGTGCTCTGTGGTTCTCACTGACCTTCAGCAATGCACGAGCAATGCCAAGGGAGATGGCCTGTGCCTGCCCAGCTAGACCACCTCCTTGAGCTTTGACAAACACATCATAACTATTCTCATACCCCAATGTTACCAATGGGACTTTTATGTACTGCAGCCATAAAGGATTGCCTTGAAGATAATCCTGCACCAAAATCAGGTAGAACTTAAAAGATTACACAAGCAAATCATTAGATAGAGACAGCAAAAATTCCTATCAAGTCTCAACTTTTAATTCTGCATTCAAAAACTCTAGACCCAGATGGCAGGTATTCTTTTCTATATGGTTTACTAAACTACTGGGTTAAAAAGATAAAGGCTGTTGCTGATTTATGTCAAAAGAAAGTCATCAACAGCTTCTATGATTTTTTTTTTTTTTTATCATGCGATTTCAATTTATTCTCCAAGGAACGACCTCACCCGCTTCTAGTTAGTTAAACAAATCGTCGAACACCTCAAACGCAAAATTTAAACATGTAAAGATAACTAATTTCAACAAAACCCAACATAGCGATCATATCAATACCTAACCTAACACTACAAGCGACAAAAAAGAGTACCCTGGCATCACGGTAATTGATGATAAACTTCCCAGTGCCTTCTTGAATAACGACGCGCGCAATGGCGGACTTCCGGCGACCGGTGCCGATGAGGGTCTGAGCAGCGAACCCACCAGGGAGCCTCGACTTAACATAATTCTTAAGGTCCGTTATTGGCTCCGACTCTGCTGGGGCTGCCACCGTTGCAGAGATGGAGAGGGGACGGGTGTTTCTGAATAAAGGGGAAATGCGGAGGGATTTTGGTCTGGTAATTGGAAGGATGCACGGATTCTGGGAGACATGAGAGGAAAATGAGAGCGAAGAGAAGGATGACTTGAGGGAAGATATGGAGAGGGCCATTTCGTTTTCCCTCTTCTGAATCGAGATGAAGTGATGTTTGCTGCGAGAATTTGTGTTCTTTTGAGTGTTGAAGAGAACCAATTGGAAGAGGATAACGTACACTGGATGGACGACAGTGCCCCTATCGTTAATACGATGCCGTTTCAGCTTGTTTGGGGCCCGCTGGGGAATGTTGCGTTTAAGTGTTTAACTTTCAACTTAGGGATATGCTTAGCTTGCATTCCTTACTATCTTGGGGAATGTTTGGTTAGGCCGTTAGGGTATACTATAAAGTTAGGTAAAATAAAATCTCTTTAAATAAAAGGCTACAAAAGTTGAAAAGATTTAATATGATTTAATTTTGATAGGCTAGTAATTTTAAAGCATAATCAATCTCAATTGAGTTTGAAATTATTTGTATTTGGACCAAAGTTGCAAAAAGACAATGGTGGATGTTTTGTGTCAGATGCAAATACAAAAAGACAATGGTGGATGTTGGGCCACTACTTTGCACCCAGGTAGTGCTTAGGTGTCATCCAAGCAATCGAAGCATTTTTATTTTTCTAGAAAAATACTAAAATAAATCAAATGCAAACACATTAAAAAAGAAAGAAAGAATGAATGAATGAAAGAAAGAATGAATGAAAGAAAGAAAGAAAACGTCTAACTCTATCTGTTAGAGCCCAGGTAAGGCGATGGAGCACTGCACAGCGCTTAGGGCACTACCTAAGCATACTTTTTGCAGCACTTATTTGGGTAATGGAAGTTGTTTATTAGAACTTTAACTATCCTGATGTTAATGGAGTCGAGCTTAAGCTAAAACAAAGCTAATAAGGAAACAGATTCAAGATCACAAGCTCTAATAACTTGAGAATGTATTAAATTAATTGAGTTGAGCTTGAGCGAAACACTATTTTTGCTTAGTTCAAATTGGCTCCATTACACCCCTAGTTAGAAGTTCCATTTTCCCATTTTTCACAGGACAACTCAGTTTGACAATCAAAATCAGTTTCTGCTATATTAACTACCCTCTGCATAAATGCTGAAAAGTGAACAATTATCCAAGCACAATCACTTTTCCAAATGACATTGAAAATTTGACGAGAGAATTCATTGTTTTATTACAGAAAATTCAATTGGCAAGACTCAAACCAATCCTGCCTAAAACAAAAATGGATTTGTCGCCTACTGTAATCAAGTTCACTATTTAAGGTTGATAAGGTTACAGGAATTATATTTCAGTCCACCATAGTCAGAGATTCTGAAGATCTAATTCTATTATATAGTGGTGATGACTCTGCCACACTTCATCTCCCAGGTAGAGGTACCATTAAAGTTCTTACTTGAATCAATGTTCTCCGGCTGATCCTCCCCATCTCTTAACTCGGCTTTCTGCTTCTTCAGCCTGCCAATGTGCAAAAAATAACACCAATTCAGACATGAATCCCAGAAATTTGGAATGAAAATGGTGCTTAAAAATGGGTGGACATATATAGGTACTCACTTCTCTGTTCCAGTTGGTTATTGAAGTGACTACAATGAGTATTAAGGTTTGCAAACAAATGCCTCCAATCATACCCGACCAAATCCCCTGCAGTGTTTCAGAAGCAAAAATGCGAATTAGGAAAAACAACTCCTTTTTATGAAATTGTAACCTTTGCAAGAAAACATGTGGGGATTAGTGATTTAGTGTATGTTACCATAGCTCCAAAATCAAATGTGAACCCAAGGAGTATCCCAGCAGGCAGTCCAACAATATAGTAACATCCGATGTTGATATATGCTACAATAGATTGCCATCCTGCTCCAACAGCAACACCTGAAGAAGAAACAAATTTGCAAGTTCTTAGCCTAAGTGGAGGTGTTTATGGTGAACTTTTATGCTATTTTTGTACTTAATTACCGGATAAGACTGGTTGAAGGCTGTTCAAGAGTACTGTGATGGCCAACAGTATGGCTAGTTTGGTAGTTTCTTCTGCGACTGCTTCGCTGGTGGTGAAGAGGTAAGGGAAGTAATCCCTTGTTGCCAGTACCACAGCCATGCAAACAACTCCTATGGACACAGATGTAATGGAGACAACAACAACAGCGAATTTTGCTAACTTTGCATTTCCTGCTCCAAGTTCATTCGATACTCTCACACTGTAAAGAACATTAAAAAGTAAGTTTCAAGCATTGTTACAGCTAACAGCCGTCCTAGACAGTAGAGGAATAAAGAAAATTCAAATAATAAAAATTAATTATATATGAATGGAAATTTCACATCCTATTTGGAAATAGAGAGATGCGATGAAGGAAACCTGATAGCAGCATTGAATCCAAGTGCGATCATAGCATCCCATCCTTGTATGTTCATGCTGCAAAAGGTAAAAATTAAGTTGAGAACAGAGTTCATAAGATCCTCTGAATTCCCCTGTTTCATTTCAATGTCTTAGCTATCAAAAAATAGTATTGACCCTCTGAATTACTCTGTTTTATTCCATTGCCTTAGATATCAAACAGAATATTAAAATTTGAAATTAGTCCCTTTCTGTTACACTTCTAGGCTACCAAAAAATAGAATTGACCTTTTAAATTACTACTTGTTTTCTGTTACACTGTCCAGGCTACCACAACATCTATTGACTTTTAAAATTACTTTGTTTTATTGAATTGCCATTGCTCCTAGCTATAAAACATGGTATTGACTATTAGGCAAGCATGGAAGATGAAAACCATACCAAATAGAAATGGCATCAACAGGGATCAGAGGGTTGCTCAGCCGACCTGTGATCACAATCAGAATCATCAAGTACCAAAACTCCAAGCTGCAAACCAATTTCCGTAACAATCATCAGAACCAAAGCTGGTAAGGCAAATCTACTTATCTGCTAATCAAATCAAGAAGTTGAGAGAAATGTACCATAACATGACTGCAGATGCCAAAGAAAGCTTCACAAACCCCCACAGATCGGCAAATGCTAACCAGGAGAATCCACTCCAAGCACCATCAGATTTGGTGATAAAAATGTACAACAACTGACCGATAACAATGAGCCACCACGATGTGTTTAAGGTGACTGCAGCTCCAGTCAAACCCCATCCGAGGTGCAGTATCAGTAGCCAGCTGAAGAATGCATGCAGCACCAGCACCACCGCTGATATCCAGGCCATCACAAAGACTTTCCTCTGAGATTGTAGGAACTTTTGGATGGGGAAGTTCATGGCATAGGCAAACAATTGCGGAAGCATCCACAGAGCAAATTTGCCTGCAATTTAGCAATTCATTCAAATTTTGATCTGATTTTCTGCTATGATGATTAAGATTACTATAGAGTACTAACCAGCAGCCTCAGAGATTTCGGTGGTTTCTCCGATGAGCTCAAGGATCGGAGGAGACCAAACGTAAATAGGAACCAAAAAACAAGCTGTAGTTAACAGAATGACCCACGATCTCTGCATGTAAACCCCCAACATTCTCACCCCCCCTGCACCAAATGCCTGCCCACATAGAGTCTCCAACGCACTTCCCATTCCCAACTACACTCAACCATGAAAAAAAAAAGAAAAAAAAAAATCAGAGAACATCCTCTTGAGTTTAAAGTAGCTTCCTTAAAATTTAAAAAACAGAATACTCTGTTTTTGTCTCTAATTTAGAGGCAACAAGGATCTTAACAACTTAAGTAGAGGTGGTTGCGTACCATGACACCGAATGCAAGACCGGCAATGACAGAGTTCTCGACGGAGACAGCAGCCAGCTCAATTTCTCCAACGAGACCAGCAAAAGTCTGAGTGAGTGCACCCAACGAGTACTGGCAAATGGCCGTGAAGATGGCCGGTCCCGCAAGCTTCCATAACCTCTTGGATTCATAGCCAAACTCCTTCACCCAGTTCACGGGTTTTTGATCTGAATGTCCATTTGGATGGTTGTCCAGAAGCGGAGTAGTAGTGTCCACCGCCATGGAAGTGAAATGCTAAGCTATCAAGGTCTCCAATCAACTAACCTTGACACCTACAGGTAAGCGTTTCTTCTTCACCCTGTATTTAAGATGGAAAAGAAGTTAGGGGTTTTTGAAATCTAATTAAACGAACTGTGATTCTTGGCTAAAGTGTTAGCTGCGAATGTGGTTACTCCATCTGTTTGAAAGGTGGTTATGTGGTCACCGCCTTTTCTCGCGATCTGGAGGCGGTTGACAATGCTGAGCTGGCTCCGATTCTCCAAATAAGGAATGGAAATTGGAAAATGGTTGACTTTGCTTGCGTGGCAGACACCTGCGCTAGGATGTTAGCTAAAATTTTTTTTTTTTTGTATGAACCATCCCTATCTTGAAGCTCATTGGCCACTGATTAATACGGATTCGAATGGATATGATTCTATGAGTGGCAAAACTTTCCCTTTAACAAAATTACATTTTTAGGGTTTAAAACCAAAACTTCTAATTAAGTTGAAAGAGTTTCGTACCAATTCATCCACTCCGTCATGGGTACCAACGAAAAAGAAATTTAAGATAGTGATATAAAAACAAATTTTTTATATTTTTTTTATAATTTTTATATATTATTAAATGAGTAAATATATTTAATATTATAGATAATAAATAAATAAACAAAAACGATGTTGTTAACCCCCCTTTTTTTCTTTCTTTGACATGGGTAATGGCGAAAGTTACTCAAAGCCTTGTCATCC